ACGAGGATATATGCTGTCTCGAGACAGTCATTTCCCGAAGTCCAGTGATTGAGGAGAATGTGGAGAGGGCTGATACCCGAATGCATTGCATGAATGTCTGCACCGCGCTGGACGAGTAAGGAAACGACTCTACTCATATCGATTTGAGTAGATTGAAGTGCAACATGGATAGCATCCGCAGGAATGCAGGCACCTCTTCCTACAAGATACTCCACGAAAGAGAATGACTGCCGCTTGATGGCGAGATAGAGGGGCTCGTTTTCCGCCCCATCGGCAGCATACAGTTGGAGCAGGTAATCCGTGACCGTGTGTAATGAGTTCACGGCGACAATATCGAGTGGCGTCAATCCCGCCAAATCCCGGGTGCGATATTCACACCCGGCAACAACTAGTGCACGTGTAACATCCAGGTACACTTCCTGCCTCTGAGCACTCTTGCGAAGGAGAGTGTGGAGAGGACTGTCTTGGAAAGATGGGTGTGTAGCACGAACATCCGCCCCATTCTGAATGAGCGATGAAATGAGGTCAGAGTCAACATCCTGCCTGTCCTCGAGCGCATTATGAATTGCATCGGCTGAGAGACGAGCACCTCTACTAAGGAAGCATTCGAGGAGTTCCCGTGGACTGTGCCGCAGGGCAAACATCACAGGAGTGGTAGTCTTTAGGTCAATTGTGATGGATAGATTGACATCTCTTCCAAGGCCCAAAATGACATTGGCGAGCTGCGTCCGCCCCCCCATAATTGCAAATTGGAGCACATGATTCCAATACTCTCGATGCTCTCGCAAGTACCGTTGGATCATCCACTCGGGGCCAAAATGAATGACAATGTCACAGATGCTTTGGGGATCAGCAAGCCAAATCTGCCAGGGATTGGAATGAGCCACTCGGGAATTCCAAGGATATCGAATGCACATGTGCCTCGGGAGGTTCTCTAGACAAGAAAGCACCGAGTCTTCCTCGATTATGATAGAGGATATATGTGCCCCAAGCCCGTGATCGAGTGCATAACGCAGCAAAGGGCGCGTTTGGGTGGAGTCAAGAACATCATCGGTGATCAGATATTGAGTGCAATGCTGGGCAATATGTCGGTGGGCATCTTCAAGTAGATGGCGGTACTTCTGTGCCTTTTCGTCTGCCATTAAGTATTCCTTGAATGAGTACATGAGCAACTTGAACGATCTTATCAAAGGAAAAATGGACCTTACCCGCACACTGTAATGTGACAAAGTGACAACACCAGTTCTCTTGTCGAAGCTCACAAGACTACTACATATCTCCAGGAGATCGGTTGGGCACATCACGCTGAGCTCCTGGTTGAGAGTTGTGCTTCCGATCTCTATACTCAAGGCCTCGGCAAGTTGAGATAAGTGGAGTGGTTCCAGAGCAGCGACCAGCCACATCAAAGTCCGCTCTACGATAGAGCTACGATCGGGACCAGCCTCTTGAATTTCCAGCAAAATCCTGTCATAAGTTTCGTAAAGACCCTTCGGGAGTCTCTTGAGCGAATCTGATATTCCCTTAACAGATCGGCAAGCACTAATGGCATCCAATTGGCATTGCACCCAGCGGAACCTGTGAAAAATAGAGTCAGCCACGACAGAAAAGTGTAGGTATTCACTGACATTCCATCAGCCTGTTGCAAGAGTGAATTTCGTATCTCGTATTTCAAGTCTGTGGCGAGAGACGCAAGCCTCGAACGAGCCTCCACTTCTTTGCCGATGTGAAGCTCCATGTCATTCTTGATCGACCGGACGTATTCGCTTAATGATAACGATGGCAAGCCGGATAGCGCAATGGAAATGGCTTGCTCTGGCCTACTGGTGATGAGTAGTCGCAGATCACCCTCATTTGCTACGCTAACCAGCCGTGTGAGGAACGTCTCATCACATTGACATTCATCAAACGCATCGATTATCGCAATGGGCCGTCGAAGGAGTCTCAAAGCCCTGCTGACGAGACCGCATAGGACGTCGATGTTGGTGGGAGCTTCGGCCCCTTGTGATTTCCTACAAAACAGGTCGAAAAATTCCGAGTTCCATTCCATGGGTACTTTTCTCAGCAGCTGGACAAGAAGTGAGCGTAGAACAATAGCTCCATCTGTAGTTCTTTCTTGGCGAAAGTCGCAGTAGAAATACACCAGCGTTTCGCCGCGGACCATGAGCTCGTTAATGATTGCAGAACTGCATATGTTATAAGTCAACATCTATTATGCTGGTGACGAAGATGAATGCTCACGCGATCACTGTTTTTCCCGCTCCGTCTGAGGCACGATGAGTCACAAATCGGCCGTGATCAAAGCTCAGAGAAGTACTAACGCTTGCCGTTGATCCATAAGACACTACTACGCTGCACTGTTGGTGGTGTCCTCCATTCACGGAACGCTTCAGTCTCGAACACCCAGGTGCACGTGTTTTCTTGCCGCTGCGTGGAGACAAATTCATGTTTGACAGTGCAGTCGAAGCCAGCCAGCCACTGTAGTAATTGCTCTGGTGAAATTTGAATGCACAAATGAGCGATAGCATGATAGGACGCGAGAAGGCTCGTTGGACAGATGACATACCCTGTTGCTTCAATGCCAACCTTGCGAGATGCTCCTTTTTCGCACTCTCCTGCATTACCATAATACGCCCGACGACATCATTGACCATATTCTTATCATCAATCCATGTCAGAGGTCGTTAAAATGTGACTCGGATTTAGATACATACCATAATCGCCTGCTTCGCGCCCGCAATTTCCTCTTTAATCGCTCCTGAATCTTCTTCGATTTTTTGCTTAATCTCGTTCGTCACCTCGCCTGTCCTGTGAGTCACTTCCTTCCTGATCTTGACTCCCTCATCCTTCATATCATGTTGGATCTCCCTCGTTGTTGATCTGAAGAGAAAATGTATATTATGATACTGAGGCCAAAATTCAATTCGGGTCAGTGTACGCACAATAGACCACCAGAGATTGTCAGCAGAAGGGTACTTTTACAGCGCTCCAACTTTCCAACAGCATTCATTATGTCTGCTTGTTGAAATGGCCACGTTGACCTTGAAGTTTGGCGTAAATCAAACCACTTCTGAAACTTGCGCTCCGGTATCCGATCACGAAGAGCTCGCAAGGTTTCCTCGCACTCCTTTAATGCGCTGTCCAGAGGAAACGAGTCAATTTTGGTTCTTGATGTGCCAGAATTGGACTGCTGAACGAGGACAAATATCTCATTGAGGGTTTTGTTGATGGAGAGGAGTTCGTTGTGAAGGCTCATACGTGCAGCCTCTGCCCCCGCAACGGATGAAGTATAACTCTTGACTGCAATGATGAGTTGCAGAGATAATTGAACGATGGAAGTAATGCCGCCGACATTGGCAATCTCGCCCACGATGTTCCATGTCGCCATTGTTGGATGGAAATGCGGGAAGCGTTGACGTGAACCATCTTTGAGTAATACTATTAGCGCCCTTAGGGCTTGGTCAGCTACTCACCACACTGGCAGGTTTTGATGTGTCTAGATCTCCAGTAAAGTCCAGTAAGGTCTGAGTCACTCAACAGTGAAACGAGGCTAAAAATCCGAAGCCAGAGTATCAATATGAAGAGTCAAGACACAAACGCCCGCCTTACTAGCATCCAGAGGAGTGACTGTGACTATCTTTTTTCTACTTTGTCTGCCTATGTGGCGTTTGCTCCTTGACGACGAAGAACTATGGCGCTGGATCTGTTCAACTATTCTTCACATGCAAAACTCACACACGCACAGACGCCACACACACACAAACGAGACGCACACATAATCACTCCTTCACATACACATTCTTGTATTGTAGGAAAATTAGTGCTGCACTATGATCATTCATAAAATTCATTGATGCCCCAAGATATCCAACTCTGCACGTGTCAACATTGGGCCAGGCTCCGTGATCAGAGCTGCCGACAACTGCTGAGCCGATCTTGAAACGCCTCGCAAGGCTGCCGTGAGGTTGAAAGAGTCTAGTGAGGCCTTACGACACGAGTATGCGCACCCTGCGTAATGACGAACAAATACATTCAAGCCTCGGAAGGCATCATGTGGCCGTGGGAGACTCTCTGGACCTTGCCAGACCTTGTTAGATTTGGGCACTTTTGCTGATGGCCCTTCTCATCGACACTTACATCAAGGATCCACCCAGCGCGAACATCTTTTTGACACCAATAATGGCAGCTTTCCGTCTTCTTTTCTCGCTCTCGTCCACCAGCCAAGGCTTTGCTGCCAATGCTGGCGGCTTTGGTGCGTTTTTTTTGCCCTTGGACTCTACTTGATTGGGGCTTATAGAACCCTTTATTAGCAGCCTTGTCTGCAATATAAATTGATCATCACTCCGAGACCTACTCACTTCTCATCACTCCGTCTCGTCCACCGGCCAGGCCTTAAAAAGATTCGAGGCTTTGCTGCCAATGCTGGCGACTCTCAGTGCGTTTCACTCCGAGACCTACTCACTTCTCATCGCTCCATCTCGTCTACCAGCCGGGCCTCAAAAAGATTCGTTTATAGAACCCTTCATCAGCAGCCTTGTCTGCAATATAAATTGATTATCGAATCATGTCAGATCTAATAGTGCAGTACTAATTTTTCTACGGTACGAGAGTGTGTATGCGACGGAGTGATTATGTGTGTACGTCTCGTTTGTGTGTGTGTGGCATCTGTGCGTGTGTGAGTTTTGTATGTGAAGAATAGTTGAACAGATCCAGCGCCATAATTCTTCACATGCAAAACTCACACACGCACAGACGCCACACACACACAAACGAGACGCACACACATAATCACTCCGTCGCATACACACTCTCGTACCGTAGAAAAATTAGTACTGCACTATTAGATCTGATATGATTCGATAATCAATTTATATTGCAGACAAGGCTGCTGATGAAGGGTTCTATAAACGAATCTTTTTAAGGCCCGGCTGGTAGACGAGATGGAGCAATGAGAAGTGACTAGGTCTCGGAGTGATGATCAATTTATATTGCAGACAAGGCTGCTAATGAAGGGTTCTATAAGCCCCAATCAAGTAGAGTCCAAGGGCAAAAAAAACGCACCGAAGCCGCCAGCAAATATTGGCAGCAAAGCCTCGGCTGGTGGACGAGAGCGAGAAAAGAAGACGGAAAGCTGCCAGTATTGGTGTCAAAAAGATGTTCGCGCTGGGTGGATCCTTGATGTAAGTGTCGATGAGAAGGGCCATCAGCAAAAGTGCCCAAATCTAACAAGGTCTGGCAAGGTCCAGAGAGTCTCCCACGGCCACATGATGCCTTCCGAGGCTTGAATGTATTTGTTCGTCATTATGCAAGGTGCGCATACTCGTCTCGTAAGGCCTCACTAGACTCTTTCAACCTCACGGCAGCCTTGCGAGGCGTTTCAAGATCGGCTCAGCAGTTGTCGGCAGCTCTGATCACGGAGCCTGGCCCAATGTTGACACGTGCAGAGTTGGATACCTTGGGGCATCAATGAATTTTATGAATGATCATAGTGCAGTACTAATTTTCCTACAATACAAGAATGTGTATGCGAAGGAGTGATTATGTGTGCGTCTCGTTTGTGTGTGTGTGGCGTCTGTGCGTGTGTGAGTTTTGCATGTGAAGAATAGTTGAACAGATCCAGCGTCATAAAGAACCACCTAGACTTAGAGTATCGAGAGGATCGAGAAGACGACTAATCGAGGGCCCGAGCCTCGCTGTTTTAAGTGATCAAGTTTCTTTTATTTTACCTATCTATTTTGTTATCCATTAATCACGAGCTTCATACACCACGACAGTATTTAGAGTCGCGTTACTGTACTGAAAGCTACTTAGCATTCTTCCAATCTATCCGGACTGGTATCTGGTTACTTGCGATAGAATCTCTGAGTTGTCACCCGTCAGATGATCTAAAGTCTTACCAACTTTTTTTTTTTAAAAAAATAATTCCAATTTATGTCCTTTGCAGAGTGAACTCTATGTAGGACAGTACTTTCTAGTCTAAGGACCCCCAGTGTCCTAGCCACACCTCTGGATTCACGAATGCCCTGGTGTGAGACGTGCTCTACCAGTCCGCCGTTCCCGCCGGCCGTTTTAGACGCGCAATCCATGGTTAGTGAGGTGACTTTTGTGTAAGGTGCGGTGTATGACTAGTCTTACCAACTTCTACCTGCCATCACAGGCTATCTAGGGGAGATTGTCGTGGAGCTTTCCTTTTTAGAAATTTGCTGAACACTGGTGGGGGTCCTGTTGGAAGACGTTGGCTCGTAGGAGCTGACCGGTCGACCACCCTACCATTGACTTGGATATATCATATACATCGATATACATACACACTACAGTACATACCGCATGTATTGTCTACTATAGGAAGCATTATAAAAAATAAGGGTAAAAAAGGCTGACCACCCACAAGCTTCAAACCGCATACATATACAATCATTGATATCTCGGAGAGGGCGACGTTACAGCGAATGTTGATTTTGCGTTGGTGAAAGAATGCTTTGGCTCTGCTGCATACTAATTATCGGGGCTACGAAGTTCCTCACGGCGCGCGCATGGGCGCACAAATCCGGGTCACCGCTCCGGAGGAAAATGGTGATCGAAGATGGCGCAAATAAGCTCGGTGATCCCCTTGGGATCATCAGATGAACAATGAGCATGCTTTCCAGGAGTGTATTTTAACATATTCATGATCAAGGTATCACGAGAACCCACTTCATTGTGAAATCATAAATGAGTATGTATAGTATATAGGTACGCAAGTCCCTCTTTCACACTAAATAGTAACGCCGATAATCTGAAATTCAGCACTGTACTTGCCATAGCGAAAACATACCACCAAGGGCCTACGATGAGTACTGAGCCTTGATAACATCCGCCAACTTCTCAGCTGTCGCAATAACCGCACCAGTCTGGATCTCTGTCAGCTTTCACGAGGAACTTTCAGAGCTTTCACCACTCACCGGGTGTCCTGAGACCAGTTTGGGGAAAACACTTGCATCACACACTCGGAGACCCTGAATGCCTTTAACACGCAAGTCCGAGTCCACGACGCCGTCTGGACCCATGGAACACGTCCCTATCGGGTGATATACTGTCTCTACGCGGTCTCGAATAACGTCAGCTAGCTCTGCGTCACTGAGACGAGAGAAGTGGTGATCGAGTTCAGGATCTGAGGCATCCACGTCGGTGACAGAGGTCATGGGCGCTGTGTGTGCGATTTTGAAGGCAGCGCGGACACCTCGAACGAGCACATCAATGTCATGATGTGTTTCGAGGTAGCTGCTTGTAATTAGTACAGAGTGAGGTTGAAGGAAAAGAGTACACTACCTAGGGTTGATAAGCGGATCATCCCAAGGATCGGCAGACTTGAGAAGGAGTGATCCTTTGCTTGTGGGGCTGGCAGTACGAAGAT